AGCCCTGGGCTCATATACTTTAGTGGATTTGCCTACAGGACTGTTACAGATGCCCACTAGGATCCGACCCTCTCAGCTTTGGCATCTTCTTTAGGCTGTGGTTACTGGAAGATTTAAAGGGCAGTGCCTTTTTATGTTGTATTTTTTTTTGAGGTACACATTTAAGAAAATCTTTGTCAGATCACTAGCTGATCACAGAACAAATGTTTCAGAAGCTTCAGTGACCACACACAATAAAGAATGCACCATTGCAAAAATAGTTTAGAAAAGTCACAAACGGATAGTTACAGCCCTCAACAAGGAAAAATCAGCTCTTCTTGAAGAGTGGGAAAATCAGATATCTAGAGTTACCACATTTATTTTCAAAGAAATAAAATGTTTTAAATATTTCACTGATTTAAGGGATTAGTCATGGCTTGAGGAATATTTGATAAATTAATCTGTTAAAAGACTAAAATGATACATGAAGGCTTAAAATTATAGACTGTGAGTGGTGTCATTTAAAACTATACAATTCAGGGCCTCCCCGGTGACGCAGTGGTTGAGCACTGGGTTGCGAAGCTGCCCACAGCCTCTGCAGCACCGGTTCCATCCCTGGCCGCCAGGCGAGGGTCCCACATGGTGCGCAAACCTCTCCTGCCACCCACTGCTCCCCTCAGCAGTGTATTTCGTCAGTCTGCCTGTTCTGCTCTCCCCTCTGGCTCTGGTGAATTCTCTCACCCTCCCGCGCTTCTGACTGTACCCAGTGCTTGTATAAATAAATAAATAAATCTTCTAAAAATAAATAAATAAATAAAACCACACAATTCAGGAGTCGTAACACTTCCTTATAACCACTTTCAACTCCCTTGATTAGTGTGTCTTTTCCGATAAACAGCACCTGTCAGTATTTATTCTTAGAGGTTATTAAGCAAGGTGCATTTTTATATATTAAACTAACAAAAAGAAAACTCATTGTGGATGAGATTATGACAAAAGTTTTTCTCAGGTATTGCTGTCATATTCTGTAATATATTCATGCTTATTGTCATAGAAAAAATTATGTCTCCAAATACATATCAAGTAAACCTGATTCTCCAGACATCCCCCATGTACCACGTGGTACAGGCACCCTAGCTGAGAAGACATTTACTTGTGCAGCATTACAAGTATTAAAATAACCATTGCAGGATAGGTTGTAAGATCACAGACTGCAGATTTAGCCACATTTGAGGAGCTGGAAAATTGTTTTACCCTTTGACCTTTGACTTAGTAATCTCATACATAAGAGTGAGGGAGATTTGCCAGAAATAACCCTATGGCACAACAGCTACCTCAAAATGTGACCTGTGGAAATAGAATTAATGCAGATCTAAGTTGAGGTGAGGTTATAATGCAATACATGTGGGCTTCTAATCCAGTTTGATTGGTGTCTTTGTATGACGATGGCCATGTGAAGACAGACACAGGGAGAATGCCAGGTGAAGGAAGAGGACTGGAGTGGTACAGCTATTACCTAAAGAATGCTTAGCTGAAGATGGCTACAAACCATCAAAAGCTAGAAGAGTCAAGGTAGCCCTTCCAGGATTTAGAGGGAATATGGCCCTTCCAATACCTTGATTTGTACTTTTAGTTTGCCAAACTATGAGAGAATAAATTGCTATAGTTTTTTATATATATAATATATTTTACATCATTTTTTATTTTTGTAGACTGTATGCATTTTCATCTTTGTTATAGTCCCTGTAAAATTCTCACCCCTGCCCCTTGTTTTGATCCTACTCTCTTATCCACCCTCACCCCCGCCCTGTAGTGTGTTTATAGTTGCCTGTTGATTTTGATTTTTACTTTATCATAATTAGTCTTTTTCCTGATCCCTTGTTTGGGTCTTCTAAATTCCTGCTATGAGTGAGACCATCCGGTATTTTTCTTTTTCGTGAAATAAGCTAAATTGCTATAGTTTTAAGCTACAGTTTATGGTACTTTGTTCTGACAACCCAAGGAAATGGATACAATGGCCAATTGATTTTAGCAGGAAGCCAAGGCCAGGCAATGGGGAAAGAACAGTTTGTTCAACAGATGATGCTCAGATAACTAGATATTCTCTTGCAAAAGAATGAAGTTACCTTACACCCTTACCTTATACCATATAGAAAAATTAACTCAGAAAATTCTTAGAATGAGTTAAAAACTCTTAGAAGAAAACATAGGAAAATCTTCATGACTGTGGACTTAGCAATGTTTTCTTTTTATATATAATATATGTTTTTTTACATCATTGCTCATTTTTAAACAATACTTGCTCCCCCTCCCCCTTAGCAGTGTTTTCTTAAATGGTATCAAAAGCAAACTAACAAAAGAAAAAAATAGATAAATTGGACTTGATCAAAATTAAAAACTTTCATGCTTCAAGACTATTACTAGGATACTGTCCTCTATTATAACTGAGTTTGCTTTTTTTTTTTTAAGATTTATTTATGCATACAAGAACTGGGGTACAGGCCAGCAGTGCAGGGGATGAGAGGATTCACCGGAGACAGAGTGGGGAACAGAACAGGCAGACTGACTGAAATACACGGCTGAGGGGAGTAGCAGGCAAGACAGGAGAGGTCTGCTGCACATGTGAGTAGCTCACTGGCTGGCCAGGGATCAAACTCATGCTGCAGAGGCTGCTGATAGCTTCACAGTGCTGTGCTTAATCCCTTGTGCCACCAGGGAGTTCCCTAAGTTTGCTTTAATTTTCTTAACTATTGAATTTTCCAAAGTAGAAAAATTACCCTAAATTTAGCCAAAAATAGTAAGGAAAAAAGTCATGTTGAAATTGTTTTGACATAATGTGTACTTTTCATTTAAAACATTTATCTGAAAAAAATTTAGTCATTTATATCTCAAATCTGTGGTTAGATATCTGAAAACCAATGCCAGCCTAATATAACATTGAAGACAGGTGTTTTAGTGTGTTTGATATGTAATTTTATCCAGGATTGAGAAATAAAACAAAGGGAAAATCACTTTTCTGATTTGTACTGCTGCTGCTGATGGTGGTTTAGATTACTAAAGAAAAAGAAGTAACATGTTCTGTGCATGCTGTGAATTCCATTTAAAAAGGTGATAATAGAAGAAGGTCACTTAAAACAGTGAAAACTTACAAAATGGGGGAAATATTTGCAAACCAGATATTTGATAAAGAATTAATATTCAGGTCCTCCCTGGTGGCGCAAGGGGTTAAGACGCAACCTATAAGCTATCCGCAACCTATAAGCTATCTGCAGCCACTGTAGCACAAGTTTGATCCCAGCCAGGGAGCTGCCCACATGGTGCAGCAGACCTCTCCTGACTCGCCCGCTGCTCCCTTCAGCAGTGTATTTCAGTCAACCTGCCTGTTCTGTTCCCCACTCTGTCTCTGGTGAATCCTTTCATCCCCCCACCCCCACCCTCCGCACCTCTGGCCTGTACCTCAGTTCTTATATGCATAAATAAATAAATCTTTTTTTAAAAAAGAATTAATATTCAAAATATATAAAGAACTCCTACAACTTGACAAAGAAATTTTAAAAAAATGGAAAAAGGACTTAAATAATTTATAAATTGTCAGTAAGCATATGAAAAAATTCCCCATATCATTAATCAATGGGGTATGGCAAATCAAAACCACAATGAGGTGCTGTTTAAGACCCACTAGGGTGACTATACCTGAAAAAATGGGACTTAGCAAGTGTTGGTGAGTATGTAAAAAAACTGAAACTCTTGTGTATTGACTATGGAATGTACAGTGGTGCCTCTACTGAGGAAAATAGTTTGGTTGTTGGTCAAAACAAAACAGATTTACCAATGACCCAGTAATTCTAACCCTAAGTATATCTCAAAGGAATTGAAAGCTGGCGCTCAAACAGATACGCGTACAGCATTGTTTATAGTGGCAACATTCACAAAGAGCAGGAAGGTGGAAACAGCCCAACTATTTGGAAATAGCAGCAATGGTTAAGGAACATTGTGAAATAAACAGTGCTATTTGTTGAATTGTACACTTAAAAATGGTTAAGATGGTACATTTCATGTATATTTTGCCACAATTAAAAAAAGAGAGTATCCAGGGTAGATATTGTGAGAGCCAAGTAATTAAGTGATCAACTATGGGATCCAGTAAAATAAGCAAGGCTAGGAGTTGGTTGGAAGAAAAGGAAATACTTGAGGATTAAAGGTCTCAGTGTTTGGAAAGAAGGCATTAGGGGTGAGAGGATTGAAATAATAGCAAGATGTGTCTACTAATATATTAGAATGCTTGAATTTCAGTGGTAGAATCCTTCTAAGTAAGAGAGTTAAGGATGTGATCATGGATGTTGAGCGGCTTAAGAGGAGAGAGAATGGCAATCCTGGGAATTGAACATGGTTAAATTCACACAGGAAGAAGGGGTAGAAATCAAACCTGAATTGGATGTTGAACATTAGTGTATCAGGGGTTGACTTCCAGGAGCCACACAGGAGAATGAATTTATTTCTACCTTGTTTTGTGCTTCTCTGCTTTTATGGTAGTACTGCCCCACAGTATATTGACTCATTGGTAAGTATGGTATGTTGCCAATGGCTAAGCCAGTCCTAAAGTTGAGAAGTGTAAAAATAGGCATAGATAATATTTCAGCTCTTCTGTAGATAGAGATTTTTTTATAATTGTGTCTGTCAAGATAGCTACAATGATAGAGGGGAAATTAGCTTCTTTATCTTTTTTTTTATTTAAAAGAGTATGCACACATCTTAAAAGCCTTTACATTAATTTTGTTTTAGGACATGTACACATTGTAGTGCTTCAAAAAGACTATAATCTAAAATCCCACTGTCATTATAAAGTGTATTCATTTTATGAAATTGAAGCCACTTGGAAGGTCCCATCTAATTTAATAATAATAATAATTTAATAAATTACAGTTTGACCTCTAATTTTGTTTTCTCTTATGGCAGATCTTTTATATAATATGGTCTCTGATTTATATTGAGTCTCAAAATACTGTTTCTATTTTTCTTAGGAAGACGGGAAAACATTTTCACAATTTCATTAGTTGGCAAGACCTAAGAGCTATTGACCTTGTAAAATCTTGGAATAGTTCTCTTATAATGAAGGTAACCTTTTTCTTGTCTTCTGTGATTTGAATATTACTGTTTTTATTTTCTGTAAATGATCCTTAGCTGGAGGCTTAATTGTATAATTTCCTAGGTTACCTATGCTGTTTAAGAAGAGAACACACACATGCACACTCCCTGTTTCAGTGAATTTAATAACAGTCACCATAAAGCAAAGCACATGTGGTAGATGGAAATACTTAACAACTACACTCAAAGCAGTCCTGAGGAGGTTTGAGGTCCACCAGACTTTCACATGTTAGTGGGAATTCATGTTTCCATTCTTGGAACAATGAAAGAAACACAGACTATGTCCAAAAAAGATATGGGAATGTCCAACTTTCATTTTTATTTTTAAAACTGAAGAATGGATATCAAGTAACTAGCTGAGCCATAGCTGTTTACTTGGCGCCTGGCGCCTAATAAGTAAATGACAATGTTGATGATGACAGTAACTGCAGCAGCAGCAGCAACATCATCTCATTTCTAAGTGTAAGGTGACTGTGTCAAAGGTAAAACAATTTTCCAGCTCTTCAAATGTGGCTACTGCTGCAGTCTGTGATGTTATAAGCTATACTGCACAATGGTTATTTTAATACTTGTAATGCTGCACAAGTAAATGTCTTCTTAGCTAAGGGGCCTGTACCACATGTTACATGGGGAAATGTCTGGAACATCAAGTTTACTTAATAGGTATTTGGAGACATTATTTTTCTGTGAAAACAAACACAAATATATTATAGAATATGACAGCAGTGCTTGAGAAACACTTTTGTCATAAGCTCATCCACAGTGAGTTTTCCTTTTGTTAGTTTAATGTATAAAAATGCACCTTACTTTAATGACTTTAGAGAATCAATACTGAGAGGTGCTATTTACACTAATTAAGGGAGTTGAAAATGGTTATAAGGAAATGTTATGACTCCTGAATTGTGTAGTTTTAAATTAACACTACTTACAATCTGTAATTTTAAGCCTGCATGAATAATTTTAAGTTTTAAGCAGAACAGTCCAATAAACATGACTTAAATGGGTCAACTGAAATACTTAAAACTTTTATTCCTTTGAAAATAAATTGTGACAGTGAAAATATTTACATCTTTTATTTAAGCCCCAGATCTCGAATAATGTGAAACTATAACTGCAAATGTAAAGCCTTGCATTTGAAGCATTTCATCTACTTCCTTTAAATATGTGTATGAAGAAAGTTTTGGTTTCTCTTTTAGCAGAAAAATACACACAGACTTACCATTTAGCACACACAATTCCAGGGCCTGTTTTGCCAGCAAAAGACCATCAACCTGCCATCATCCCTTTCCTGATGCTCATGGTTTATTGATTGAGGCTCTTAGCAATGTTTGGGGTGTATCTCCAGAGCTGACACCAAGGTGGTTTACCCAAGAGTAGCCCCAAGCAAAACTGTGTAATAATTGAAGTGTGTTGACAATGTCCCGACACCACTGTTTCCTTCCAGTCTCCCCAAGCAACTGTGCTCTCCCTCTCACTTGTTCTGATTCTTCTCTAATGGTTGTTAAAGCTTCTCTTTGCTTTTAGCATAAAATCCTTACACCTTACCATCATGTGGTCCTATCTATAGTTCTGACCAATTCCCAGATCCCTTTCTTCCTGAAGCTGCTATCAAATGGGCCCCAGCTTTGCCAGCCTGCTTTTGTTCCTGTGGTGCCCAAGCCCTCTCTCACCTTACCACTGTACATGCAAAGGGCTCTCTCTGCCATCATGACTGGATTACTCTCATTCTTCAGGGCCGAGCAGTGTGTTCCTTCCTCTGTGGGCGTCCATCCTTGCCATCCTATTACAAGTAGCCCCACCACCCCGCCTCTGTCATGCTGTCCTTTATTTCTCACAACGCTTATCAAACTTCAAAGATTCAGAGACATATATTTTTAATTAAAATTGTAATTGAGGAAATTGTAGATTCAGATGTAATTTTAAGAATTTATATAGAGATCCCTTATATACTTTGCCATTCTTCCCAGTGGTAATATTTTATAAAACTATAAAACATTTTATAAAACTCTAATGTTACAACCAGGATATTGATATTAATACACTCCATTGATCTAATTCATATTTCCCTAGTTTTACTTATACTCATTTTGTTTGTATGTTTATGTGTGTATATGTGTATATTAATTTCTTTGCAGTTATTTATATGTTCGTGTATCTATCACCACATTCTAGACACTGCACAATTCTTTCACTACAAGGATTCCTCACATTGGTCTTTTATGACCTCATCCTCCTCTCTCCCCTGCACCATCCATCCTCTCCCATCCTTAGTTCCTTGCAGCCACTCATCTGTCCTATGTTAAAATGTTTTCTCATTTCAAATGTGTTATATACATAGATCCACATTATAAATCTTTTATCTTTTTTTCCCACTTAGTTTAGTTCCCTGAAGAGTCTGTGTATATATACACCAGTTTTTTGTTCTTTTTCATTGCTGAGTTGTAGTCAATGGTATGGATGTGCCACCTGTTGAAGGACATCTGTACTTAATCCAGTTGTTGGCTAATACAAGTACAGTTGTTATGACTATTCACATACAGAATTTTGTGTAAAAATGCATTTTCATTTCTCTGGAATAAATACCTCAGGAGTACAATTGCTGGATAATAATGTAATTGCATGTTTTTTTTATTTTTTATTTTTTTTTAAATAATAAATTTTATTTTTATATTCCCCCATACAATTGCAAACGCCCCATTCTGACCCCAATCCTTCCCCTCCCACCCCCCACCCCCCAAAAAGTGTCTCTGGTTCATAGTTTTTGTTGATTTTGATTTTCACTTTCTTATATTCATTTTCCTGGTCCCTTATTTAAGTTTTCTAGATTCCTGCTATGAGTGAGACCATCTGGTATTTTTCTTTTTCTTTTTGGCTTATTTCACTGAGCATGATCCCTTCCAGCGCCATCCATGTTGCTGCAAATTGCATGTGTTTATCTTTTTTGAATGCTGAGTAATATTCCATGGTATATATGTACCACATCTTCTTGATCCAGTCATCTATTTTTGGGCATTTGGGTTGTTTCCAAAGCTTAGCTATTGTAAACAGTGCTGCTATAAACATAGGGGTGCAGGTGCTCTTTGGAATTGATGTTTCTGTGTCCTTTGGGTAAATACCTAGGAGTGGAATTGCTGGATCATATGGAAGCTCTATGTTTAGTAGGTCCAGAAATCTCCACACAGCTCTCCATAGTGGTTGGATCAGTTTGCACTCCCACCAACAGTGCAGAAGAGTTCCTTTTTCTCCACATCCTCGCCAACATTTGTTGTTGCTAGTTTTTTTAATATGTGCCATTCTCACTGGTGTGAGATGGTATCTCATGGTAGTTTTGATTTGCATTTCCCTGATTGCAAGTGATGTTGAACATTTTTTCATATGTCTGTTGGCCATTTGCATTTCCTCTTCAGAGAAGTTTCTTTTTAGCTCTTCTGCCCATTTTTTGACTGGATTATTTTCTTTGTTGTTGCTGAGTCTCATTAGCTCTTTGCAGATTTTTGTGATCAGTCCTTTATCATTAGTGTTGGGTGCAAAAATGTTCTCCCAGTTGGTGGGGTTTCTCTTTGTTTTTGTTATTGTCTCTTTTGCTGTGTAGAAGCTCTTTAATTTGATGTAGTCCCAGCTGTTTATCTTTGCCTTCACTATCACTGCTTTGGGTGATGTGTCTGTAAAGATGTCTTTGATGTGCAAATCCCGTAGTGTTTCGCCTATATTTCCTTCTATGTATTTTATGGTTTCAGGTCTTATGTCTAGTTCTTTAATCCATTTTGAGTTGATTTTTGTGTATGGTGTGAGGTAGTGGTCAAGCTTCATTCTTTTGCATGTAGCGACCCAGTTTTCCCAGCACCATTTATTGAACAAACTTTCTTTGCTCCAATGCATAGTCTTTGCTCCTTTGTCAAAGATTAGTTGACCATAAATCTGTGGGTTTATTTCTGGATTTTCTATTCGATTCCATTGGTCTGTATGTCTGTTCTTGTTTCAATACCATGCAGTTTTGATGATTATGGTTTGAAGTCTGGGAGTGTGATGCCTCCATTTCCTTCTTTTTTTTTCAGTAGAGCTTTGGCTATTCGGGTTTTGGTGATTCCATATGAATTTCATCAATAATTGTTCTATTTCTTTGAAGAATGCCATTGAGATTTTGATTGGAATAGCATTGAATCTGTATATTGCTTTTGGTAGGATGGCCATTTTAATAATGTTTATTCTTCCAATCCATGAGCAGGGATGTCTTTCCATTTCTTTGTGTCTTCTTCTATTTCTTTTAACAGTGTTTTATAGTTTTCTTTGTATAGGTCCTTTACCTCTTTTGTTAGATTTATTCCCAAATATTTGATTTTTTTTGTTTCAATAATAAAAGGGATGGTTTTTTTGATTTCTTCTTCTTCAGATTTATTGTTTGTGTATAGGAAGGCTACTGACTTTTGCGTGTTGATTTTGTATCCTGCCACTTTACTGAATTGATTGATGAGTTGAATTAGTTTTTCTGTGGAGATTTTGGGGTTCTCTATGTATATTATCATATCATCTGCAAATAGTGATAGTTTGACTTCTTCTTTTCCTATTTGGATTCCTTGGATGTCTTTCTCTTGTCTTATTGCTCTGGCTAGGACTTCCAGTATTATATTGAAAAGCAGTGGTGAGAGTGGACATCCTTGTCTTGTTCCAGATTTTAATGGAATTGCTTTCAGCTTTTCACCATTGAGAATAATACTGGCTGTTGGCTTGTCATAGATGGCCTTTATGATGTTGAGGTACGTTCCTTGTATCCCAAGAATTTCAAGGGCTTTTATCATGAATGGGTGTTGCACTTTGTCGAAAGCTTTCTCAGCATCTATTGATATTATCATATGGTTTTTATATTTCTTTTTGTTGATGTGTTGGATAACGTTGATTGATTTTCGGATGTTAAACCATCCTTGTGCCCCTGGAATGAATCCAACTTGGTCGTGGTGAATTATCTTATGGAT